GATGGAGTCTTGAAAACCTTATTACCACAGTTAAAATTTCATGACATTGATTTAAAGACATTTCCATTACTTACACGGTGTTTACATTGTTGTTTGAACAAGTACTTGTACATAATTTAATGAATATTTGAATCTTTATTTTAAAAATTACATTGGCATGATGGTTGGGGCATGCATTTAAATCATGATGTGGCATTTGTATTATTGTTTACGACATGCATTTGCATCATTTAGTGATAATCTAGATTGTTGTATTTGCATCATTTAAAAGGCATTTGCACTATTATCATAACTTTTATTGCATAGAAGATTTTGATTGAAATGGGATAAAATGTTTGACTTTTTCATCCTTGAATGAAGAAAATCTTTCATGATAAGATTTTTTTGGACAAAGAAAACATTTCAAACTTTTAAAGTTATAGAATTTTGGTTTAAACAAGCCTTTTTTCAAAAATAGCCATGATTTATAAGACCTCTGGATGTGAAATTACAAAGTTTTTTAAATGAGAACTTTCGAAATTTTGGATGTGAAACGCTAAAGTTTTTTTAATGTGAATTTTTTAAATTTTGGATGTAAATCCTTATGTTTTTTTAATGAAATTATTTAATTTTTGGATGTGAATCTCTACAATTTTTGAATGAAAATTTTTGTATTTTGGATGTGATCCTTGAAATCTTTAATGTGAATCCATGAATTTTTCAAATTTGAAACTTTAATTTTTTGATGCGTATGACTAACAAAAATTTTTGAATGTGAATCTTTGAATCTTGTATGTGAATTTAAAATTTTTGGTTGTGGATTCCTAAAAATTACAATTGTGAATCTTTACAATGTGAACTTAAAACTCTTGAAAATCATATTTTTATGAATCTAAAATTCTTACAAATATGAAACGAACCTGAAATTCTTGAGAATCACATTCTTTCAAATTTGAAAAAAATTTTTAAAACTAAAATTCTTGCAAATCTGAAATTCTTGCTAACTCGAAAGTCTTGCGAATCTTTGAATTCTTACAAATATGGATTCTTGCGAAACTAAAAATCTTACAAATTTGAATTCTTGCAAATCTAAAATTCTTGCGAATATGAAATCTTTGCTAATCTTTGAATTGTTGTGAATCTTGAAGTTTTTACGAATATTGAAACCTCTGAGAATCTTGAAATGTTTTACGAATCTTGAAATCTTTTGTGAATTTGAGAACCTTCACAAATCTTGAAATCTGTGAGAATCTTGAATCTTAAAAACTTTGCAAATCTTGGAATCTTTGAAAATTTTAGAATCTTTGCGATTCTTGAAACCTTTTGGAATCTTGAATCTTTTGTGAATTTTGATTTTTTGTGAAACTTGAATCTTTTATGAATTTTTAAATCTTAGTGAAACTTGAATCATTTGGCGAATTATTAAATCACTAAATCTTAACAAATCTTGAGTACTTTGTGAATTTTTGAATCTTTTATGAATCTTGAAGTGTTAGAATCTTTCAGTTCTTGTTATCAAACCTTGTGAATCTTTTAAATTTTGTGAACTTTTGAATTTAATGACAAACACTTGAATTTCCCAATTGTGAACCTCTGGATTTCAAGTTGAGAGTTTTTTGTGAATTTTCAAATTCTCTTGACTCAACAAAATGGATGCTTTTTAATCTTTGTAAAATTTTTGTTTTACAAAAAAATGCACAAAAATGGGTAATTGTAGACACCTTATTTTATCTAGGAAAATTTTTTGAAATTGAAATAAGCCTTCGACTATAAATTGGGCCTGATTGGAAAGATTTAGGCCTAATGGGAAAAAAGCCCAAAAATTTTAATTTGATTTTAGTTTTAATTTTACTTTTTAGTCAAAGGTTGAAAAAAAAAAAAAGAGAAAAAGTAAAAAAACCCAAAAACAAAAACATGGGATTTTCCACCAAGATTTGGTTCCTGGATTCAATCTTTAAGGCTTAATGATCAAAACATTTATGGAAAGCTTGGGGGATTAATTCATGCAAAGCCAAATCATAGAAAAATATTTCACAAAAAAGCAAATCAAATAAAATCATAGAAATCCCATATTCAGTTGAATTTTCCAAATTAAAGGGATTAAATCCCTATAAAACAAACAAAAAAACAACACAATGGGGAGGAACGAGAGACAAAAGCATAAACAAAACCCGCAATAATAGTTTTTTGGATTTAGTTTTTAGTTCTGGAAATTTTTTATTTTGATTTATAGATTCTGATTTTTGAGCTTTAGTTCAATATTTTATGTTGGGAATTTTTCAGGGTTTGAATTTTGAGATTTTTTTTAATCTAGTTTTTTTATATGATCTTAAAGTTTTTCTAAAGTTTCTAAGACTTTGGAATTGTTGAATTATTTTCAAGAGTTTGGGGTTGATTTTTAGGTTCTGTTATTAGGAATTTTCTTGATTTTTATTTCCAGGTTTTAGTTAAATTGTTTGAATTTTTGGAATTAGGGTGAATTTTTGGGTTTCGTGTTTGAACTTTTCAGTGAAAATTTAAGTTTTCTAGCAATATACACAATGGCTGAAAGGGATTTCACAATGGTCAAAATATGGGTTCTTGAAGTTTTTTGGGAAAGTTTAAATTTTTCAATAGACAATTGAATTTCCTGACACTGAAATCTAGGTTTAGAATGGTCAGTTTAATTCGTTTGGGGTTTCAAAGAAAAGTCTAAAAAAAATTGAGCTAGAGAGAGAAAGAAAGAAAAGAAGACAGATTTAAGGAAAATACAAAGGATTTTGGCTTTTATACAACACTAAAAGAACATCATTTTAGAGAAGGTTATGACTCGTGGCGAACCCACGACGACTCGCGTGCCTGGCTGCTTCTGACTCGATCTACAATACATGTTTCTTTTTTTTTTCTTTTTCCTTTGATTTTTGATTTTATGTTATTTTCTTTTTCTAGTTTTATTTTAGATTTTTTTTGTTTGGTTTTATTATTTATTTTAAATTTTTGCTTGAATTATTATGGTGAGAAAAAGATAAAAAGGTTTATTTTTGCAAGATATTTTTATAATTTTTTTGTTTTTTTCTTCTAAAAGAAAAAAAAAGTCTTCAAAATAAATTCATTAGTCATATCAAATTATTGAAGGATTTTTATGGGATCATAATTTTTTAAATTTTACCAAATTATGAAGAATTTCATAATATAATTTTTTTTATAAGATTGTTGGAGGATTTATGGTTTTAGGAAAATAAAATTTTAGCAACATATTGAAGAATCTCATTATTATTAAATTTAAAAAAAAATAATTTTTCATAAAATCTTACCAATATATTGGAAGGTAATATTTGACAAAAAATCTTATTAACATATTAGAAGATATGTCTAAAAATAAATAATTTTTATAAAAATTAAATTTTGAATCTCCGATAATGAAATTACTAAGAGCGTTGTAAATAACAACCTTTATATAAATTCTTATATGAAAAAATCTTTTCTAAATTTTACCAACATATTAAGAATTTAGATAAATATTTTCGATACCAAAGTTCTAGTTCTAAATCTCGTTATCATAAATAAAAGTTTTTACAAAAATTAAATGAATTCAATGACGGAGCTTTTTTAGAGTGAGACACTAATTTTTATGAATATTTCTAAGGTAAGAAAATTATCTTAATTGCTACCAAATAACTAGAGTAATTTTAAGATTAATTTTTAATAATTAAATTATTCGGTAAACTATAAAAATATTTTAAGGCTTGAATAACTTGAAATCAAACTGATACCATCTTATGAGTGGGCGCTATAAGGGTATTATAACTTTTCTCATGTACAGCCGTACTCCCGAACTTTAATTTGGTTTCGTAGACTAGAATCTATCGTTTAAAGATATCTAAGTCAAATATTATATTTCTCTTTAAAATCAGACAAATTTAGTTAGATAGCAAATCATACATAAACAAAAAATATTTATGACGACTCTTTAAATCTATACCTAGTGATAGATCTATAGATCTATACATTATAACATTTTATTAATAAATTTATCAGATAATGTGGGTATCCATAAAATCTTTTATCGAGATTACTATTCGTCTATATCGAGATTACTATTCATCTATGAAGTATTCCTAACTACTTTCTATTGTGGTAATAGAAAATCTCTTTCAAAGTCCTATTTTATAAGGTAATTAGTTAAAATTAACTTCTATGTATTTATATTATAAGACCCTCCTCTAAAAATCTTGTAATTTTAATATTTTGAAAAACAAATTTTAAAAAATCTTGACCCAAATTAGAGCATAAAAAAAACATAAAATTTTTACTAACATTGAATTTACGTTGCAAATGAACTCATCTTTGAAGAAAATATTGTGTTCGGATGCTATTTTGAAAAATATATTTTTCAACTTTTTACGCTAATAAACGAGAAGAAAATAGAGTGGTTGCAGATTTGCAACTCGTAAATCCTAAGCTCTCTAAGTTTCCAATAGAAAGTATAAAGAAGAAATGAACGGTAATGAAATAAACTTAGGAAAAAAAAAAAAAGCAAGAGCTTTTTCATGTCATAATTATTTGTAATGATTTTTAAACTTAATGGTGTATATCATTTACAGAATAGTTTTTGTTTAAAAAAATTTTTATATCATTATAAATAAAAAATATTTAATTTTTATTTGTATAAATTAAAATATTTAATCTTAAATTGAGCAAACAAATATTTAATTTCAAATTAAACATTTAACCTTAATAATTAATATTAGAACTTAACAACTACCAACGCCTTTTTTCGGTATCAATTATTTTCAGCTATTTAAACCTTCAATTGCAGCGAATAACCTCCCAACGAATATAGCCAAACTAAAATCCATTTAATCACATTTCACATAACAAACCAATACTATGGGGGATTTTCACATAAAGCGCAGCCGTTTTGTGATAAATTTGGAAAGCCAGTTGTTGTGGGGTCCGAAGATAATGGACATCTGGCTGGCTTGGCAAAATATGGACTTTACGTTTCACTATCTAAAGGTGTCACCCCCATTCTTGTTTTCATACTTCAAGTCTCTGTATTCTAAAGGATAATGCTTTGATCTGGGGATTTCTTGCAGTGTGTTAACATTTCCTTATTTTAGAGAGGCAAGGGAGTCTGCTACTCTTGCAGTGTATTTGGAAACATGTGGCTGTTTAGCAGAAAAGGGTCATCTGGGTTCTCTTCATCTTCCACTGCAGAGGAAGTTACACAGGGGATTGATGGCTCTGGTCTCACTGCCATTGTTACAGGTCTTTCAATATCTGAGTCTTGCTTGGTTTCTTGAATTTTGCACGCAATGAGTGAATTCTTTTGTCATGTTCTTGTTTGTATGTAGTGTCACATCTCCATCATTTTTTTTTATATAGTATGTGAATTTAGAGTTGTAGTGTGGCATTTTCTATATCTCCATTAGGTAATTTTACTGTAAGTTCTCTGATGATATTAACTGAATTCTGATTAAGATTTCTTAGAAGCTTTTTGCTTTTTGACTTTTGAATATGTATTTGATGTTGATAGAGAATATGAGAAGTAGAAATCTATGGTTTTTGTTCTGATTAATAACTAGTTGTAGCCACCGCCTATTTTGTGTTTGTTTGTATATTTGTCTTCGGCCGCGCTCCTTACTCTATTCCTGCATGAACAGTGAAACGATATGGAGATGGGGGTGTAATTTTCTTAGCAATAAACAAATGGAAAATATTCCCTTTTTTTTTTAATTATTATACGTTTAGTATGTTATAATTCAATGATGATGCCATATTCTTGTTCAGTAGCCATTGGTAAATATTCTAATATCCAAACTGGGGGAAATTGCCATTAGAGGCATCTGTCAGATGAATTCAAGTGTTCACAGCTGCCTTTAATGTTGGTTGTGCCTTCTGCTTCCTCTTATGAGTAGGCTAAACAATGAAAAGATTCCCTTCCCATTTTCAAACCCCTGCTATCTACACTGAAATGTGACCCAAATGCCTGTCTTTGCCATGCTTGGCCAGAGATTTGACCGCCTAAGTTCACTGGCATATTCAGACTATGGACATAAATAATGAAGTAAAGTACAAAGACAATAATTTGTTCCTCGCTGATTTGTTTGGTTATCTAGTAATAAAAAATATTGCTTTCATGACAGCACATCAGTATTTTAGGGATGCACCCGAAGGATTTTTGGGTGCACATTTCTCAAACTTTGGAATGAGTCATGAGACTAAATATGGTGCTGCTTTTTTTGTAATCTTGCTTGGGGATATCAGCAAGTATGAACTTGCCATTTAGATGTGAGGACTGAAAAAATGCTTTGGTTTGTTAGGCATGTTCCATGATTTATTGTCTTGGCTTTGACTTGGTAGGTACTTAATCATAACCATGTACACATTGCATAAGTTGTTTGCTTAAAAAATTTTCTATGTTTTTTAACAAGCACAGTTTCTCTTTCATGGCCAATGTGATTATAGGAGCATCCAGCGGTATTGGCACTGAAACTGCACGTGTTCTTGCTCTGCATGGTGTTCATGTAATTATGGGGGTCAGAAATAGGGCTGCTGGTAGAGATGTTAAAGAAACAATTGTCAAGGAAATTCCATCAGCTAAACTTGATGCAATGGAATTGGACCTCAGTTCAATGGCATCTGTGAGGAAATTTGCTTCAGATTTCTGCTCCTCAGGTCGCCCACTGAATCTCCTTATGTAAGCAAACTAGCATAAGAGTGGGAAGCCTTTTAAATATCATTTCCCAGCCAGAATAGTGACTAAGTATGATAGTCATCTCTTTGCATTAATGTGTAATTTTATGATTACAATCTCCAATTCCCTGTCTGCTTAGCAATGTATACATGATAAACAATTTCCTTCCATAGTGTCTTTGTAGGCATGCTAAGTACAAGGGAATCACACAAGAAGAGTGTAATTTTGTTTTTCTTTTTTGTCAGTAATAATGCAGGAATTATGGCAACTCCTTTCATGCTTTCAAAGGAAAACATAGAGCTACAGTTTGCAACCAACCACATAGGTATGTTAGCATAAAATTGATCCGAATGGCATTCATTTAAAACATCAATTACAAGCTCCCTTTTTTTTTATTTCTTGCATTTTGAAGCATCAACAGACAACTCTGGAATGGAAATTGATAATATCTAACTGTATTTATTGCTTCTTTTGGATTTTAGGTAAGCAGCTCATTTTCATAGTGATAGTGGAATTAGAAGATCTGGGATAAAGATGGTTTTTGCCATCTTACTTTACATTGTCTAAATTCTAAATCTACACAATAGCTTGCTTGCTACCACAACAGATGCTGTTTGCTTTTCCTATTGGATAGAGTTTGGTTATGGTTGATTGCCCAATTCAGGAAAGGGAGAAAAGAAACAGAGAATTATGACATCGTTCTTCTGTTTCTCTGATCCATCAGTAAAGCACTGTTCTAAACTTTTGAATGCTCTACACAGGTCATTTTCTTTTGACGAATCTCTTGCTGGACACTATGAAGAAAACTGCACGTGCAAGTAAAAAAGAAGGAAGAATTATAAATGTCTCTTCAGAAGCTCACCGTTACACATATAAGGAAGGAATTCGTTTTGACAAAATTAATGATGAGTCAGGGTAACACCAAACACCCTCTCTGAATTGCATTGAATTATGCCCTTATTACAATTCAATAATTAGCAATCCTGAGGAAAAACAAATTTTGAGATGTCTTTTTGAAAAAAATACATGTGTGTTCTTGAAAAAGTTGTTGACCATTGGCTCTTAAACTTGCTGTTGTCAACAGATTTTTTCAGTAGTGACAGATTGCCATAAATTATAAACCTTTACAGGCTGACTATTCCCTCAGTTAACATACATTTAATGCTTCTCACAATAGCATACTAATATCAATGTCATTTAGCATTTGCTTCTTTGACATTAAGTCATTCTTAAATGCGAAATGTTTTTATGCTTATTCTAAGATACTGCGACTTTACGGTTATCTTTGATTTGGATGCCTATTTTTGTAACCAAGCACAACTCTTCGATGCAGTAGTTCCATCAAGCAGAATAAAGTTAGGTTTTGTCATCTGTTTCAATTTGGTAATGTACAGGTACAGCAGTTTGGCTGCATATGGCCAATCAAAGCTTGCTAATATTCTGCATGCTAATGAACTAGCAAAACGTCTAAAGGTATGTGATCTTTTCCATGGCATTGAAAATTTTATCAGTAGTAAAATTGCTGGTGATTGGACATTTTTTAATCAATTAAAAAAAATTAGAATGACCTATTTTTTGTAATTGCAAAAGTTATTGTCAATTTCAAATCTTGGCTTGTGACTAAGCCACTATGCCTGTCATGAACTTGTTCCCACAACTTCTACTTGCAATGTCTTTTTGTCTTTTTTTTTCAAAATTCAATTTGAAAGGACAAATCTTTTGCACTAAATGTGGTAAACTCGTGGTGCCTGGCTCTATGTTATAAGTGCTTTATCAAATATTTGTCTTCTAAGCACCTGAACACCGAGCCCTTTTTCGGTATATTTGGATGAGTTCAAGGTGGAGCAGGAAGTTGAACTTGGACCTTGGCTGTCTATTGGAGGGGTAACAACGTGTAAGCCAAGTCTGAGTTGTTGAATACTTGAATTTGTGGCCCTTTTCTTTGTCATTCTTCTGATTGCCTACACTTGTCTGTGTCTATCTTTTGTACAGTTGAAATTCCTTTTGAAACAGATCAAATATTTTATTGAGATGCTTGTAAGTTAATGATAACATGCCATGTTATCTGCCAGGATGTTTGTTCATGCTCAGCACTCAATGATATTTACGTCTTGCCAAGTGAATTTTGCATAATGATGTTCATTTGATTGAGCAGGAAGATGGAGTGGATATAACTGCAAATTCACTTCACCCAGGAACAATTGCCACCAATATTTTCCGCCATATGGGTGTTTTTGGTGGTAATTTTATTATGACTATAATTTCTTAGTTATAATTGGGCAGTGGTTACCTGTTGTGAAAAAACTATGATTCTCCTCTGTTAGAATAGCTGAAAGACAAATAATCCGGTTGTATGAAATTCTCTTGTTGAAAGGAATTTCACATTATTGACATAGTTGCACTTTATGCAGAGTGCATCTCACATTTGTTTTGGCCTTGATGCAGGCCTTGTTAATATCTTTGGTAGGATTGCACTTAAAAGCGTCCAGCAGGTGAGCTCTCTTCACGTAGCATAACCAATTCAGATCATGCATTGGCAACTAATTCTAATAAATTCTTCAGTCTATTATTTACTATGCAGTATCAAAATATTTGATAATCTTTCATGTAGTAAATTGAAGTGAGAGTTTAGTTTAATCTCATGGACCTCATGCTATAAACAATGAAAGTAAGACTATAATATTTTGTCATGAAGCTTTACTTTCCATTATTTCCAGTTATTGGTTGTTGGGTTCATATATTAGAATAATATGCTATTACATGCTCACTATCATATTTAGCATGTCTGTAAATCCTTTTATTTGTATTACTGCCCTTGATTTTGTTACATAAACGTGTGAAATATATTTGTCAATCTAACCGTGGGGAAATCCACTGAAATATATATATATATATATATTTTTTTTTTATATATTTTGAAAGGCAATAGAATTTCATTCAAATCCACTGAAACGCTGGAATCCGTTTTTTTTAACATGAGAACACATTTCTCGTTATGTCCTTTATCTGATTATAGGGAGCTGCAACAACATGCTACGTGGCATTGCATCCACAAGTAAAGGGTAGAACTGGTGAATATTTCAAGGACAGTAATATAGGCCAAGCAAGTGCATATGGCAGGGATATGGAGTTGGCGAAGAAACTCTGGGATTTCAGCATGAAGATGGTTAAATGAGCAAACCAGCCGATACCAGAGCCAAATTTATGTACATTTCTCTCAAGTAATATGCTCTTCCCGCCAAGCTGTTTACAAGGAAACTAATAATTTTTGCACAATCTGTTGTAGTTCTGTGATTACATTGCTGATAGCCTGCTATAGCATGGTTTGGCAAGGGTCTTCTGATTCTCCATCAATATTGTAAACTTTAATAAAGAGTTGAATGTGGCTTCCATTAAATAACAAACATGAGATCAATTAATTAAGGGGCTTGAACTTGAAGTTCATTTTACTTGACGATGCACATCTAGTAAACTTAAAGCCTATTTTTTTGGGATTTTTGAGCAAAGATTCTGCGAACAGGAATTGTTCTACCTGCTTTCCGAGTGGCAGCATCTGCCCATACAATATACGCAGTATTTATGACCTACACCTATTTGCCATGTTGACTTTCTACGGATGATACAGTGGCTCTTGCTAGGTCAAGAAGCTTTTGGTTTGGGTGCCCAATATCTATATATATATATATATACATAAAAATGTGAATTCCAAAAATATTAAAAGTGAACATATAAAAATCCTTATGAATTTTGAGAAATAATAAATTTACTTTTAAATTTCTAGCATTTTTTATTTATTTAATAAAGATGATTTAATATTAAATATATAATTTTTATTAGTTAGTTATTTAAATTTAAATAAAAATGAATTGAAAATGAATAATATAAATACTTTTATAAATTTTTAAAAAGTAACAAATTTACCTTTCAATTTCTAGTATTTTTTATTTATTTAATAAAAATTATTTATCATTAAATATATAACTTTTTATTCGTTAATTATTTAAATTTAAATCAATTAAAATTTTACAAATAAAATTTATATCAAATTAAACTGTATTAAAATTTTAATTGTGGGATATGATGGATGTTTTATCAAAATTAACTCAAATTTATTCTTTTTTTAGAATTCTTTTTTGTTCATTGTCATAAGCAATAATTCAATCAAATTCATATAACACACATTTATGATCCTATGGGCTATGACATACTATGAATTCATGATATTGAATAAAATATAAACAAAATCTTTCCTCTATTGATCAATTAGTCATTGTTTTAATCTAAATTATTAAATCATAAAGTGTATGCCCCAAAAATATTTAACTTTATCTTAAGTAAAATAGATAATTTTCATTTTTCAAGATATAATCTAATTTACTCTTTACCTTCTTTAATAATACATATCATGAGTCCTTAAATATATTAATATTTTTTATTTATTTTATTTATATCAATTAAAATTAAAGTTTATATAAAATTATTAATTAAATTATCCTATTGAGAAAAAGTAATATTCATATTATGGTAAGTTTGTATGTTTGAATTTTTTTTTTATAATAAATATACATTTATATGTTTAATGATTATCATGGTTGATTTTTTTTACTACAATATTTTTAATCACTCTATGCAATCGCATCTTAATATTATAATATCTAAATAAATCTTTGCTTTATGAACATAATCTTCCTTACCTTTGAATTGCTACTAAACTTAATTTTTATTTTGTCTTCTATAAATTGATTTTATACTACACTTAAGTTAATTTCGATTTATCCTATATTTTTTTATTTTTAATTTCAAATATTTTGTATTTAATATATTTTTATAAAACTAAAGTTAATATTGTTAAGAAACATTAATCTTAAAGAAGAGAAAGTATTTAATATATTGTTAGTTAAATATTTTTAACTTTACAAACGGGTTAAAAAATTAACACATAATTCACTTTTTTTTTCAATTAACTTTTTTTAATATATTGTAAGGCCTAAAAGGTATATGTCATGCTACTAGCTTCATTTGTAAAATTTAAAAACTCTATTATCAATATATTTGATGATTTTTCTTGAATAATATAATTTTTTTTTCAATTAAGAATGCTCTAGCATATTTTTACGTTTTGATAGAGAAAAATATTTTAATCATATGATTAATTATGACCGTTTTATTGAATAATCAAAGCTTTATTAGTTCTCTAACCAATTATTATATTCTTTGAAACAATAATGTTATAGTTTATTTTATATTGTTTTTTTTATATTATTTAAATATATGATCATTGATTTTTAGTCTAATCATGAAAGTATCTATTAATAATTATTTGTACTTTTTTGAATATGTTTATTATACATAAATACATATATCATCTATGATATACATGTATAAAAGTGTGAACTCCAAACAAATTAAAAGTGATTTTTTAATTTGTCCGACTCCTATTAATAATATACTACATGCCAATCATGCATGTCCAACCAATTCTTCAATTCATAAAGAAAGGAAAATTTACAATTAAACTCGTTAGGCACATGATAAAAAATTTGAAGTATGAGATTGTGAAATAAAATATATTTATTTATATAGTCTTACAATTAAGATAAAAAATTAACTCAATTGATAAAATTAATTATATATATACAAAAATAAGATAAATGAATCGATTAAATTTCATATAGATCTTAAGATTATTAAATTAATTTTTTTATTACTCAATAAGTCAATGAATCATAACATACTAGTGATCAAAGCTCAGCTTTGCCCAATTTGTTATATTAATTTTTAGTATTTTATTGAATTAATTTTTTGATTGAATTAGAAGTTAGTGCAATATATATGGTTAACATGAAGGAGGTACAAGTTTTCTAGATCTTCAATACTGAATTGATCAGCATTGTTACAATCTGCTCTCATTGTGATATCACTTAATCTCAAGGGAGAAGTTAAATTACTAATCCCTTTTGGATAGTATGTCAGACGATGACAAATCTTAGTACAAAGACACTAACTTCATTATTTATTGATGCCCAAAAAACACCAAAAAGACACTATTTGATTAAATAACTACCAATCATTCCTACTTCATTCAATAATCGAGAAACAGAATACCACTTTTATTCGACTTAACACATACCACAAATTCGTCTGAAAAAATAAAACAATAGGATAACAAAAATTACCCATTAATCGGTGCTTAGGCACTATGTTCACATCTCGGATCCTTTCAACAACTGTAGTTTTTTAATCACCACTTTTTCATGATCTCCTATAAAAGCAAAACTAAGTTGTTTACCCATTCTCCAAAATCACAATGGAATGGAGAAACAAATATACAAAAATCAAGATTCTCAGCACATCATCAATATGAAACTATGAATTACAAAAGTACCTTTTTCAGCATGCCTTTTTTTAATGCCTTTGTTGATGTTCCTGCAAGCCAATTGATCCATCAAAATTAACAAATAGTGTTAAAAGACCCTTATAGCTACCAAATGCAACAATAAATCACTTCCCATTAACTCCAACATCATTTACTCTATTATAACCTTTGACATCATTGAACCAAAAAGAAAAATTCAAAGACATCATTGACTTTTCTTCTTTTAAAAATAAGTACATGGAATTCTAGAAGTCAACTAATTACCAGATTCAAAGGGTTGCACATTTCAAAACCATCTTTTCCAGCAAAAAGAAAAAGTCAGAATCTATCAAACTACAATTTTTTATGATGATATTTAGAAATGCCTGCATTAAATTTTTAGAAGAAATGAAATATTTATTATCTCCCTATTGTACTAAAATGAAGTAACATTGGTTGCTTAACTGTTGTTCCACGGTAATCTGAATATACATTGATTTGAGCAAAAAGCAAAATAAAAAGGTAGAATCATGAAGTTATAAAGAGATCAATGGCTTATCACAACTTGAAGAGGTTGAAGATTTCGTTTTCGAGCATGGCTGAAAACGGAGTTCCATCGACAACAGTACCAAATATTGCAATTATAGAGCCCCCACCATTGACCATTTCTTATAGTTTCTACGACCATGCGAAAAAGGAAAGAAGAAATCAATAGTTATGACCCATCAACAATTGAGAAATACTACTAATCAATACTTTTTTTGTCACCATTCTCCTCTCATAAAAGTGAGATCCACCTTTAATTTGTATAGGATTCCTTCATATGGGGTTTCAAGTTCAACTTTATTGACAGGGCTGGTCAAGTTGAAGGTGGAAATTGGAGCATTTTTGTCAAATTTTAATGAAGGGAACAGTAATAAAACACAGGATATTGACATAATTCTATTGTGTTTGCACATAGTGGGTATAAGTAAACAAATGCTAGTTAATCTAATAATAACATATTGGAAAGAGGGTGGGATGCTGATCAAGATGGATAATCAACTATGGAACCCAATATTAGAACAACACTTCTGCTTTTTCAAAAACTACATTCCCATTGCAAGAAAAAACTACATTTAGAGAAGTTCTTCACCAGCAGAGACTAAAACGGTGATTAATTGCCTAACATTTCATAAAAATTTCCTCATCTTAACTAAGAAAAAAAGAAAAAAAATTAAAAATATATATAAACCCTTGAACTTACTAAGATCAGTTAACTGGGGAAAAAAAAAAAAAGCATATGCAAAGTAAGACTTCCATTTAGTGCATAAGCAACAAAGCAATAAAGGTAACGCAAAACATGAATGGTTAAGAAATTGAGAGAGCCTCCAGCATACCCTATCAAACAAACGCACAAATAAACAGCCAAACCAATCCGGCATGTTCAAGAAGCTCAAGTTCTGGCATTCTCAATGCCTCTGGCATCCAATTCAAGAACCTCAAGTATGAACGAAAATCCAAATTAACAAATTTCCTCACAAATGCTCCAAACCTGGAAAGACTGCTTCTTAAACCCTTGAGATACCATTTAGGAAAGTAAACCCTATCATTGAAAGGTTGAAGCTTTAATATGGAAAACGCTAGAAAGAATAAAAATGCACTGAGAAGATTAATTGCTGCTACAACGCCTATATCTTGTATTGTCGCCATTTATATAAAATCTCCCTTGCATAAACAAAGATAATTCCAAATCAGGAAATCTACCAAATTAGACAATTAAACTCTCCAGGCTGCAATATGTTCCTGCTATAAACATAAAAATCACTACTTCAAACAAAAAACTAACGGCAAAATCACTGGTTTTCCATATAAGCATAAAAAAGCTGTATTTTTCACTAATGAAACTATTGTTTTCCAAGCAAAAACGAACTCCGTTTCACCACAAAAGAAAAAACAATTCTTTTTTAAGTCCCCTCATTTAAGATGAATAAATTCAATCACAATCACTACAAATCATCAAAAAAGGGAAACAAAGGATACGTTCAAGTAGAATAAAATTCTTACCTGTTTGTGATCCTTCAAGTGAAAAAAAAAAAAATGGAACAATTTGTGGGTTATCTAAAAAGCCAAAGAAAGCCCTTTATTAGAAGTTGAATTAGGGAGTGTATGGATCACTTCAGAACCCAATTAAAGCAAGAACATTCCTTATCCGTCCACCAAGACCCGAATACCCTGCAACGTCTTATCTCTCCAAACAACACACTATCAATACCATATACGCATCACTTGTATCCCAAAATCCTAGCACCATAATTGTCACCAGCCAAGACCTCCCACTGAACCCACCATTTCCTGCCAATTTCAATGCCACCTAAAAGTCTTTTTCCACCACCATTCTTGACAAAAACACATTTTTTTCATCTAAATTTCCTAAACCCGAAGGCTTAAAAAATCTTGTCAAGAAAAAAGTGCAAAAGGAAAAAAAAAACAATACTAAGTAAAACAGAGAGGTTTTGGGGATCTAGGATTTTTGGGTTCACATGAATTTTGAGTCGTGATTTCTTCCATGAATGTTATCTGATCCTTTGATATCCTCCATGAATGCCATATGACCTTTTGATACCCTTCGTGAATGCCACCTAACTTTTGATATCTTTACAACCTAACTCCAAAAACCGAAAGGAGAAAAAACATGGCAGCTTCAGAATGGGAGAAAAAATAAGGAAAAACTAACCCAAAAACTGATACACGGCAGCTTCAGAATCCTTCGGGATTCTTTTTATGTATAGTAGTACAGATATGAAAATGATAAAAAAAAAAAAAATTAAGGTTACAATGATAACATGATAACATGATTTCTAGTTGTTTTTTTTCAATTAACTTGTAAAAAGTGTTCTATTTAATATTTAACCAACTTTATTATAAATAGTTATTTAAATGTTAACTAAATTTTTAAAAATACACACATATATATTTTAGATTTTATAACTTACTTTGAATAAAAAATTTTATAATTAAAAAGATATTTAATATATATTTATATTATATATAAAATATAATAATTTATTAAATTATCTCTATTTATTTTTATTTAAATTTTTAATAAATTAAAATATTATCTATTTTTTATTTATTTTTTTATTAAAATAGTTTTTCTTGATTAAATCATTTATGCCCCGGTTAACGTAAGCAATATTGTAAGAAGGCTTAAAATAATTTTTCTACATATGAATATTTTAGTATTTGTAACACATAACACATTAATATGTTTACACAATTAAATTAATTGTAGAGGATTTAATGATAAATTAATTATAATTAATAGTAAATATATAATAATATAGTAGTTAATTTTTTATAATTTTATTGTAAATTAGTGATAATTTAGATAAAATTAATAATAATTTTATACTAAATCAATTATTATTGTATAGTAAATTTAGGATTGACAGCCCAATCCGTTCCCGGTATTCCGACCCGACCCGACTTCATAGAATCGATTTTTTTTTTAAATAAGGTTTCAGATCGAGTCGGGTCAAGTATTATTAAAAAAAAAATTGAGATCGGGCCAGATTCGAATTTTAGGCAAACCCGATCCGATTTGACTCGATATTATATAAAAATTATTTTTTTAATTATTTATTTAATTATTTATTTATGTATATATTTATATAATTATATATTTATATTTAAAAATAAAATTTTATATTTTAAAAAATAATATTTTATTAAATTCAGATCGGGTCGGATACGATTTATACAATGTTGAGTTAGGTCAGATTTGGGTATGAAAAAAAAATTAAAAAAAATTTGGGTCAGGTTGGGTTTTATGATTACAAAGTCAAATCGAATTCGGAACGAGCAAAAACTCACCCTAACCCGACTCGTTGCCAACCCTAAGTAAATTATGGATAACTTAATAATAAATTATTAATAATTTAATAGTAAATAAATAATAATTTAGTAGTAATAATTGATAAGATAGTTATATGCAAGTGATAACATAATTGATTACATAATAGTAAATATATAATAATATAATAATAAATAATAAATAACTTAATAATAAATTATTTATACATAATTGTAAATGCATAACAATATAATAGTAAATTAATGATAACTTAATAAAAAATAAGTGATAATTTAATAATAAATCAATGATAACTTAATATTAAACTAATAATAACTTAATAGTAAATAATATTTAATTTAATACTCATTCTATCTCAATAAAATTGTCACATTTTTATTTTTGTTGGTCAATTTTTTCAACTTTAATCACCTATTATTTTATATTTATTATTGATAAAATTTTGAAAAAATATATTTTAAAAGCTTTAAATGAAGTAGTTTCTAAATATATGTTTGTAAAATTTAATTTATTAAAATATTTAAAATAATATGTGTCAAAGTTAAAACATTTAATAAAAAAAGTCAACTCTAACATGAAATAGTAATTAATTGACAAATTTAGCAATAAATCATAAATAACTTAATAATAAACTAATGATAATTTAGTAGTAAATAATTTATAATTTAGTAGTAATTAAAAATCAAAAATTAAAAGTAAATTAATATAACTTAATAGTAATCATTGATAAATTAATGGTTAATCAATGATAATTTAGTATAGTAAATTAGTGATAACTTAATAACATATTAATGATAATTTAGTAGCAAATAATTAATAACTTAGTAGTAAATCAATAATAATATAATAGTAAATGCATAATAACTTAATAATAAATCAATTATAACATAGTTGTAAATGCATAATAGCATAGTCCTAAATCAAAGATAATAAAAAAATGGTAACTTAATAATTAATCATTGACAATTTAGTAGTAAATCAATGATAATTTATGAGTAAATTAGTGATATTAATAGTAAATCTATTTTGGTTTAATGGTAATTAAATTATAAACTTAGTATTAAATCATAAATAACTTAGCAATAAATCAATAATAATTTAGTAGTTAATCACTGAAATTCAGTAGTAAATCAATGACAACATAGTAGCAAATGCATAACAGTATAGTAATAAATCATTGATAATTTAGTAGTAAATCATTGGTAACTTAGTTGTAAATCACTAATAATGTAATAGTAAATCTTGATAACTTAGCTATAAATCAATGATAATTTAGTTATAGATTAGTTAATTATTAATAACTTTTATAATAAATCATCAATTACTTCACATTAAATCAGTAATAATTTTATAATAAATCATCAATAACTTAATAATAAGTTATTAACAACTTAGTAGTAAATCATTCATAACTTAGTTATAAATTGATGATTATTTAATAGTAAATTAGTGATAAGATATAATAATAAGTAAGTGATAACTTATTTGTTAATTAGTGATAATATTTTTTTATACTTTAAGTTACCAATGATTGAACCCTGATTATTGAAAGAGTAATCTAAAACTTTCATCTTTGGGAACTAGGATAAACCTATGATGAACTTATTTGTTAAAAAAATTTAGTACAAAAATTCTAAATTTGAATGAAAAGATAATGTTATTATATAAAAAAATTCTCTCATATACTATAATTAATTAATAAATTAATAGTAAATCATAAATAACTTGTAGTAATTCAATGATAACTTAACAATAAATAATGATAACTTAATAGATAATTATTGAAAAGTTAGTAATAAATTAATGATAATTAGTAAATGCATAATAATATAATAGTAGATCATTGAATTTATTAGTAAATTACTAATAACGTACTAATAAACCACTTATAATTTAGTTACATGTCAATGATAATTTAGTAGTAAATTAATTAATCATTGATAATTTTGTAGCAAATGATCAATAACTTCATAATAAATTAGTTATAACTTTATAATAAATTATTAATGCCTTAGTATAAACTATCAATAACTTAGTAGTAAATCATTCATAATTTAATAATAAATCATTGATAATTTAATAATAAATACCTAATAACATAATAATAAATCAGTGATAACTTAATTATCAATCTATTACAAGCTTTTTTATCAAAAGTAATGTCACTAATTTAGGGGTTGAACTTTGGTTACTAGCAAAAGTAATGTCAATACCTAGTAATAAATCAATTATAATAATAAATTAGTGTTAACTTAGTTGTAATTTATTGATAACTTAATGCTAACTCAATTATAATTTAATTGTAAATCAGTAATGACAATAAATCGATGATAACTTATTAGTAAATCTAGTTTAGCTTAGTAAAAAATTTAACAGTAAATTATTCATATTTTAATAGTAAATTAGTGATATAACTTAGTAGTAAATTATCGATAAGTATAGTAGTAAATGGTTGCTAACTTAGCAGTATTTTTTGTTTTGGTTGAAAATTGATATAAGCTATATTTTCTAATATGTCTAGCATATTTAATTCATTTAAAAAATTATATTAATTGCCATTTAATACTAAGGTATTGAATTACAATATATGTGGATATTGTACACATATATAAATAATTAAAAGAATATTCATGTACCAATTACTATAACATTTTTTATTGAAAAAAAAATCAACTTTTGAAGTGAAAATTTGGAATGACTTTTATCTAAATTTGCATGTCATTGATTGTCTACTTAATAATATATTAATAGTAACTAGATTAATGTTATATCTTTACTAAAATAAATTGTTGTGTTCGATGGTATCCTCTATACCACTTATAGCAACTATACAAAAAATTATTGTCTTTAAAGTCATTTTTAAAATCAAAGAGAAAAATGATGAGCCTAAATGAAAGCACCATAAAAAATTACCTATAAGTTATTTTCTTAGGTACATAATATTTTAAATTAAAATAAATGATCTAATAATACAAATAATAGTATGAATTCTATAAATTATAATTTTATAACAATATCAATTAAATGATAAATTTTTTGTATGACTTATGCTAAATATATAATTAAGTGTTCATTGAATAAAGAAATTACTCAATCTTAATTAAAAAAGAGTTCAAATATTAAAAATATATTCACTTTCAATTTTTAAGTCTAAGATTTAAAACATAGTTTACCTTCAAAATATAAGAATATTTTTTTTATATTTATCTAAAATAGGTCATATCTTATTAATTTTAAAATTCTTATATTTCATTATTTAACAAACAATAATAATATTGAACCAAAGTTAATTGAGAAAAGTATTTAAATATTTAAAGAACAACATAAAAAAACTATTTGATTAGGATAAGTTATACCATTAAGTGTGTTATTTAAACTCGTATTATATCATATTTTAGTAAGTTATGTATATTTAGTAGCTTTTAAGAAATCAATATTCGATATTAAAAGTAGTTTTAGTCAATATCCCTTGTAAATATATAAATAAACATCATTGATTATTACATCAAAATATTATTAGTTCTTATTGCTTTATATCCTTTTTATAGAATATATTTATAAATTAATTTTTTTAATTAGTAAAATTCACGTAAATATGTATTTTTTACTATAAAATGATTTATATTACATAAATAAGTACATATTAATAACAAAAGTCAATGAAAAAGAAATTATATATTTACTTTATTTCAAGCAACAAAAACTTTATAACAATTTGATTTCAAATCAAAATAAAAAATTTAAATTTTCAATAGCAAATAGATGAAAACCAAGAGTTTAAATAAGTCTAACAATAATAGATTGCCTAAAAAATTTATAAAATTAAAGATAAAAATCCATTACCAAAAAAATAAAAAAAAAAAAAACTCAAGAAAAAGCATAAAATAGAAAAGAAGGAAAGTACAAAATCCGATTTGGTTATAATAGAAGACAATCCTCTATAACTAGAAAAACTAGTAAAAAAATATAAAAATTGAATGAAGATGATGACCTAACACCAGAAGACCTAAAAGAAAACTTTTAAAAAAAAGTCAAAATAGAGAAAGATTAAATATTTATTCTTTGTTTGAACTTTAAATTAAATTTTTTTATATATTTATTTTTTAAACTTAAATTTACATTTTCAATTTAATTTCGTATGATGATTAATTTTTTCAATTTTATTACTATAAAAATATTTAAATTATTTTATTATTTTAGAATTATAATTTAGTTAACAATCACATGCATAACACCTGAAAAAAAACTACTGAGTATGTGTGTATGTATATATATATATGTATATATTGAAATCAATAGGAAAAAATGATTTAATCTTATCTCTTGGATTTATTGAAATCAATAGTTTAAAAAATGTATAAAACTTTTTTAGTTTTACAATATATAAGCTGATATTTTTTCATATATATAAACTTTTTTTAAACTATTGATTTCAATAAATCCGATAGATGAGATTAAACCATTTTTTCCTATTTTTACTTATCTCTATCATCTCTTGAATATATTAAAATCAATTGTTAGAAAAATATGTAAAACTTTTTTGGCTTTATAAAAGTGTAATTCATACACTTTTTCGTATCCTTTAATAAGGATGTCAACCCAATAGAAAACCCAATTTTTTACTTGGGTATTCAATTTTGGGAATAAAAACAAAGATGGGCATAATTTTAAATTTTTAAAAGGATGGTACCAGTATAGGAACGATTAATATAACATTTGTCCCGTACCTATATTATACATATTTATACATTTAATAAATTAATTTTGTATTTAATAATATAAATCTTAGTTTAGATTAATTAGATTAATATATTTGTATTTAAAAAATATATTTATAAAAAAATTACATACATATGTAAGATAAAAATTAAAAAAAAGGCTAAAAAATAATTTTTTTATTTTTTAAAAAGCTAAAGATACAAAGATTAACATATCCATTAAATATTCACGAGGATAGGGATGATGATAAAGATGAATTTGAAATACCTGTTGCATATAAGTACATGGATGAGTATAATCCAAAAAATAGAGAATAAGGATGGAGAATACTCCACCCATTCCATACCCTACCCATTAACATCCTTACTTTTTGGTCAAAATTAAATCCATGACTCATTTGAATCAAAATAATAGTTTTAAATTTAATAATTTTGATCTAAAGATCTAAAAAAATGTAAGAATTAGACTAATATAAATGGATTCCTCACATGTATATCAATATATATATATATATATATAAGGCATAACATTTCTAACATTTAAAGAAAAATAAACAAAAAATTATTGTCAAATACTATCGATTATAAAACTCTGTTTAAAAAGAAACTATCTTATTCTTTAAAAAAATTACCATACATGTTATTTTTTAAAATTTTCTACTAAGTATTCATGTAGCAAACCTTATCAGGTGTCTATGTATATTATAATATAATATATATAGGGTGTGTTTAGTGAAAAAATTATAATAGGATAAAATAAGATGAAATTATAAATAAAATTAGATTAAATAATGTCATTTTATCTTGTATTTGATATGTGCTAAGATTATGATAAGATAATTTTATTTATTGGTCAAAGTTATCATTTTTCAAAGTTTATACAATTTAAATTATTATTATAATTTTAAAAGTATAATAAGACATATAAGTTTAATCTCATGGATTACAAATAATCATTTTCGCTTTGGAATAATTGAATTATCCTATGCTAAGAGATTGATTAATCCTCTTTATAATCATATCACTTTCTTTAAATACAAATCAAATATAATATAGGATGATTATTATCTTATCTTATCTATTATCTTATACACCAAATATGATCATATATATATATATATGATTCTTTTGTAAAATGAATGTTAGGTAGTACTTAATTAATATTGATTGTGATTTATGTGAAATAGAGTGTAATTAGGTAAACTTGTAATCAAACAGGTAATCATAATAATTTCATACTAATGAATTTTTTTTAAGTGGAGAGAGCATCATCTTTGTTTTGTTTTTTTTTTAAATTAATGATGATACATGTGTATTTTAAAATTTTTATTTTTTAATAGGGATAGTTTTAAATTTATCTATAAAATTAATTTTGTAAAAACTGGAGGAAGGAGAAGGTGTCCACATGCCTCTCCCTTCCTCCAAAACTCTACTTTTTATTTTTATTTTTTTGTTTTTATATATTTTTATTGTTTTTTATTTATTTATTAAATATATCATTTTTATTTTTTTACTTTTTATTTAGTTTTTAATTTTATTTTTTATTAAATAATTTTTGTAAAATAAAGTTTTGAAAGGTAATAATGATAAAACAATCTGATTCAATTAATTTTGATTTGCATTGATCCAACATAGGTGTGTGTGTGTGTGTGTGTTTTTTTTAAATAAAGATTAGGTCGATTTTTTTTTTTTTTTTTTGAAAATAAGGTTGGGTTGTAGACAAATTTAAGGTATTTCATCATGTCTTGGATTTTTTAAAATTTTCTTTATTTTTTAAAACTTTTGATTTTTTTCTTTTTAATTTTTATTAGATAAATTTTGCAATAAAAATATTAATTGAAATAGAGATGACAAAATAATATGTATTTGATTGGTTTCAATTCACCTAATCCAATTGGTTTACTTTCTTTTAATTTGGGATAATTGGATTAATTTTTTTTTTATATATATTTAGCTTTGGTAAGAGTAAAGTTTTTTGTGTTATGCCTCAGTTCTGATATATATAAAAAATATATATTTAATTATTTATTTAATTTTATATTTATATATGTATTTTATTAAAAAATATTATTTAATACTTTAAATAACTTCATCGATCTTTTTTCTATTTTTTTGAAATTTTATTTATTAATTAAATTTTGTAAAAAAATAATCAATAGATTTAGGAATGACAAAACAACTTATACTCGGTGGGTTTCGATTTGTCACGATCCAATCAATACAATTTTTTAAATAAGAATTCGATTAAGTTTTATCTCTTTAAATAATTTTGATCAAGTTGGGATTGGGTTTGGGGTGCTCTGCCCTAACCCTCCTCAAGATATATAAAAAATATTTTTTATTATTTATTTAATATATATTATATTATAAGGATATTATTTAACACTTTAATTTAATAAAAAATTACATTTCTATATAATTTATATCAAAAAATAAATAAATTTGTATTCATATATACGTTGTTATTCATTAAATTTTAATATAAAAATTTTACTTTTTTATATTTAAAATATAATTAAAAAAAATTTATATCGCAACGCGGATCTAATGCTAATTTATTTAAATGGGATACTTCATGTTATGTCAACTATATATCACCCTCATATAAAATTTTTTAAATAATTATTTTTATTTAGAAAAAAATTTTAAGAATTGAAACAATGTTTAGTTTAATAAACAATCATCTTTGAAAGCAACCAACGTTATTTGTTTTTCAATTATGAAATTTTAGCTACTTAACTTTTCATGACTTTTTAAAATTCAATTGTACAAAGATGTGCGATTGCACCTAATTTTTAATAATATTTTCAGTGCTTTTGTTAGTTTGAAGTTTTACTTAGTGTATATAATCCTAAATATGTTATATTTTGTCTTTCTCTTTTTCTAAACTATATTATAAAAAAAATTAATTACTTTTAATTTGTTGAGAGCTCTCCTTAAGGAATTTCGTCGAACAAGTAGCGTGTGCTGCAATTGAAATGGGTCAAATCAACGTTACTTCGATTTTGTCTAGCAATATGGCAAAACGAAAACCACTTTCGTTCCCTTTTCCTTCGACTTCCTTTTTCTAACCCAAACTTCCAAAATAAAAACTCAGAAATTTTCAAACTAAAACCCTTCGTTGGATGTCTCGATAGTCTTTGATCGGAGGTCTGACCATCTTTCCAAATTTACATAACAATGAAGAGCTTGGGAATTTAATTTTAAGTTAACAACAAATCCCCAAAAGAAAAGAGAGATTGAGCACATACTGAAAAACGCACTTAAAATTTTTCATTGTCACCTGTGTTGTAATTGCTACTAAAAGTCTTTGATTGAAAAAGAGTTAAAGCATTAAATCATAATAAATAATCTTGTATTTTGTATATATAAAAAATGATATGACATAAATACCTTATCTAAATACCCCGTTACTGGAAAAAACTTGCAACGAAAACTTACAGATAAATAAAATCGTTAGGCGAGCGTTCATGACTATGCTAAACCCAATTGGCAAGCCCAAGTGGCAGCAGGAGCAAGGCCAACCAACTCTTACCCGTCCATTGAATTCACAACCGAGGATGACAACTAAGGGGAAACGCTGGGGATATTTTCGTAAACCTAATTTACAACGGCTCTTTACCAAAAAAAGTTGCCGTTGCGGCTTTCCATAAACCTAGATATTCCTTAACGAAGATTAAAAGAGTACATCAAATCCGAATTACTCTGCTTATCTTCCTATCAACGGCATCGTTATATAAACTCGTCGATTCGTCCAGTCAACTTCGATCAACTCTCGCTCTAACATCTACAACAACGCTTCTTTCTTTTCGCATTTCTCTAGTTTTTCTGTCTCTAACGTTTTCTTTTTCATTTGATTTTATTTTTGTTTATCATTTTTTACTTTTGATTTGAATTTTGCAGGTCCTGGGTTGGCATATATATAATTTTTTGGATTTTACTTAACTATTTCTTGCAGGATCTTTTTTTTTGTTCATTGCTTTTTATTTCTCTTTATCATATTTGTTTCGTTTTTTTGGATACATTGACCTATGGATGCAGGATCATTGAATTCTTTTTCAAACTCGAAGGGGCAATCTAGATGCCCACTTCAGGAACAGCTTCTCCAGAGAAGGAATTCTAAAGAAAATGTAAGTATTTCAACTTATTACTTAGTATTTTATCTAATTTTAATTATTGCAAAATCTGGGTTTTCTTGTTCTAGAGTTATGGTTTTTCAATTTGACAAAGGGATTCCAGTAATCAATCTTGGTCTTGAATTGATTTTAGGAAACAGCTTTGATTAAATGAAGGTTTTTCATTTATGGCTTGATAAATTAGACTTTGCAATGACACTCAAATTGAATGCTTTATTGGTACTGGCAGATGGACAGATTCATACCAAACCGTTCAGCAATGGACTTTGACTATGCGCATTATATGCTGACCGAAGGGAGGAAGATCAAAGAGAACCAGACGGTGTGCTCACCAGCCAGGGAGGCCTACAGGAAGCAGCTGGCTGAGACCTTGAACATGAATAGGACCCGAATCTTGGCTTTCAAGAACAAGCCACCAACACCTGTTGAACTCTTCCCTTCTGAGCATTCAACTTCTTCTGTTCACCCTGCCAAATCCACAATGCCCCGAAGACACATACCCCAGGTAAGTAGAGCATGCTATGCTTAATTTGACTAGTTCATAAAAATTTTTGTTCCACGGACACTTACATGTGATTATCATTTGATTCTTCAGAGCTCTGAGAGAACATTGGATGCTCCTGACCTTGTGGACGACTTCTACCTGAATTTATTGGATTGGGGCAGCAGCAATGTTCTAGCAATAGCACTTGGAAACACTGTGTATTTGTGGGATGCTTCAGATAGTTCTACCTCAGAACTTGTTACTGTTGATGATGAAAATGGCCCAGTAACAAGTGTGAGTTGGGCTCCCGGTGGTCGGCATATCGCCATTGGCTTGAACAATTCTGAAGTACAACTATGGGATTCTGCTTCCAACCGACAGGTTTGTTGTTATAGACATCTCTAAAATATTTGCAGCTTCTTCTTTTCATTCTTCCATCATTTATTCTGACTCAATTTTTTACCTTCGTTGCGGCAGTTGCGTACTCTGAGAGGTTGTCACAGATCAAGAGTAGGTTCGATGGCATGGAACAATCACATTCTTACAACAGGAGGAATGGATGGTCAGATAGTTAACAATGATGTAAGGATTAGACTCCATGTTGTTGAAACCTACAGAGGACACGAGCAAGAGGTTTGTGGGCTAAAATGGTCAGCTTCTGGACAACAACTAGCCAGTGGAGGCAATGATAATCTTGTTCATATATGGGACAGGTCCATGGCATCTTCAAATTCACCAACACAATGGCTACACAGGTTGGAGGATCATACTTCTGCTGTCAAAGCCCTTGCCTGGTGCCCTTTCCAGAGCAATTTGCTGGCCTCTGGTGGTGGTGGAGGTGATCGAACCATAAAGTTTTGGAACACACATACAGGTGCATGCTTGAATTCAGTTGATACTGGCTCACAGGTTTGCGCTTTGCTGTGGAACAAAAATGAGAGGGAGCTTCTGAGCTCTCACGGATTTACTCAGAATCAATTAATTCTTTGGAAGTATCCATCAATGGTTAAGATGGCAGAGCTAACTGGTCATACATCTAGAGTACTTTACATGGCTCAAAGCCCAGATGGTTGCACAGTGGCATCAGCTGCAGGCGATGAGACACTAAGATTCTGGAATGTTTTTGGGGTCCCAGAAGTGGCTAAACCTGCTCCAAAAGTGAACCCTGAGCCATTTTCTCAGTTGAACCGTATCCGGTGATAAAGAAAAACTGGTAGGAAGTGGTGGATATCCTCTTGAGTCCCTAACTCTACTAGTTGGTCCAGTTCTAGTTCCTTCAAAAATAGCTTAAAGTTTTCCGAAGGTGTCAGTTCATACTGGTTGAAAAAGGTAATAACAAGTTTCATAATGTTTCTAAGTGTTTTCCCAAGTAAATCTGCCTTATTTGTTCATGTTTTATTTTTAGCAGGCGATGGAGGGATTTTGGTTTCTGTAAAGATTCACTTCATCTGGAGCAACTGTCAGCATTTGTTGTGGGAGACAACAGTGCGTGCTTGCTTTATTTTGTAATCTTTTCTTCTGATCCATCCCAAAATTCATTGGGATATTTGGAGATTTCTTATATATATAAAAAAAATTTGTTGATGAATTTATTAATTTTATCAAAGAAAAGATTTTTTTTTTCAAATTTTTTTTCCTAATTATTGTTCATAAACATCCTACTTATATAACGTGCCTCCAACTAACAATTTTACATCCAGAAAATGAGATTTACGCATTTCGCAATAAAGATATGATGACGCACCCACGGTCATGTAGTAAGATCCGCGGTCATGCAATCGTCGCCTCCTTAGCATTTCATGTTGGTTTGACAGTTTTTTGTAGCTCGAAAATATATGTCGATTTTGTAAACCGTGTAATATTAGATAATTTATGTTATAAAATTGAAATTTAAGTATCTAACTATAAAATTTATTTTAAATATTAATAGAATTTTATTTTAAATATCTTACATATGCATGGAAAGATAGTAGAGATGTCAAACTTTGAAAAGGTCAAAAGAGATAATAGAGTGGGTGAAAAAACCACAAATCTTTTGTCTTTACCCCCTTATAACCAACCCGCAGCTTCCTCAAATGTCTGGTTACTTCTTGGGTGCCATTGCAGCCAGGCCCAGCCGAAGTCCAGATAAGTTGGACAGCCACAAAGATCAGGCGATAGTCAAGCAGGAATTTCCCAAGCCAACCACAAAAATTTGTCATCCAATCACTTGATTTAAGGCTTGGCCGAAAACATCATTGATTCAAGGAGAACCATATAACTAGAAATGTAGCATATGTTCTGTTATGATTCAATAAAGAATAATCATACCCTGAAACGCTCTGTGATTAAGACATGTTTGCTATGGTTTTATTAGAATCAAGCCAATTGCAGTGACTAAAAGAGTGGAGGGGACTCCAAATTTTAGATGGTTCCAAAAGGTTAAAGTGTACCCCAGATTCGGAACCCGGTAGGCCTGCTCACACACTATCAAGTTGGCAGCAGATCCCAATAATGAGAGGTTCCCAGCCACAGTACTGACCCAGGCTAAAATGAGCCATGCCTTCTTCTCAGAGGCTGTTGAAATCAATGCTGCTGATGTTGCCATCCTTGCCCCAAGCAACAGAACTGAGACGAGGATAACATGTTTGGTATTAAGCTACACAATACCTCATATTTGCATGGTTTTAAAATATGACAGCTAATAATGATTCAAAACAAACAAAAGCTTCATCATAAGTTAAAGAAGTAAGACCAGTAGGCTTCCACTATAGATGTCATACTCACACCCAACACAAACATGAGAGAATTTCAGTCAGAGATGCTATCATGCTATGCAAGAGGTTTAAGTCCATTGGCAACTGAGAATCTATAAATTAACTAATTGACTGATTAACAAAGGCATCCTGTCTTGTAGTAGGGGCCTGATCCAAATGGACACTGAAGCAGAAGTTCAATACTTCCCCAAAATTTCAAGCATGTAGTCTAGGAATGAAAGTTCCATAACTGGCTTGCATCTACAAATGTATAACATTTGCAACAGTGAAAAGGCTATTTGGAGAAAAGGTGGTTGTTGATAGAAATGAGTGGTGTCAGAAGATTCAAATTACAACCTAACTTCATTCTCTTATTTGATTTTTCATACAGCTGACCCCAGAGTATGAGATATAAGGCTTAGTGTGTTGTTGTTGATGTTGAAAAGGCTCTTTGGATAGGTTTCTAATCTTTGAAGTTTTGGAAACTAAGATAGAGATGAAGCTAAAGTACATTAGTTTAATATTTAGTTGCAATTATCTGCACTTGCTGCTTTTTTGACGAAGGGAAAGATTGAAAATATGCATTGAGAGCTTGACATAGTTCCGAGTCAACTTATCTGTTTATTTCTTTAATTACCAGTTTAACAAAGAATCACTAAAGTTTGGTATATGTTTGAAAGATGTACAACCAAAAAATTGTCCAATCAGTCATTGTACTAAATTTCCATTACTTCAGCTGTAGTTGAATCTTCTAAGAACTGCAAAAGAGATTCTTACCAAGGTGAAGCTTGTTAATTTCATTAAATGAAAGTAAAAGATCCACAATTCTAAGAGGGAAATTTTGTTTTGTTCATTGATCTTCTTTACTTGACTTGAGTATTGGCATTGCACATGACTTGAACCACACAGATTTGGCAAGATTAAAGCTTGTCAATTTCTTAAAATTAAAGTAAAGAGTTTCATAATTCTATAACAAAATTTGTTCCTATTCATTTCTTTTGCTAAATTTGAGAAGTGAATGGCCCAAACAGCAGGTATGTCAAAAGGGCAGTTAAAATGTTTCAGGACTTATAAAAAATGCAATATTTGAAGGGATGGGGCTGTTTTTAACAGATATGGTGAGGATACTAACTTTTAGTTACATCAGATGAATTCTGCCAAGTTCTATATTTTACCTAATTGTCAAGTTGAAGTTCTTAAAAGCTCTCAAAACATACAGCTTAGTTCTCTTTAGAAATTGTTGTTCAACTCTACATTTTCATAACACATATCAACTGTATGATCAGCAAATTTGTTCTTATTGTCAGACTAGAATTACATTTTATGTTATTCATTTGTTCATATGACTAGGATCTATTTATGTTTTATCTTTTCATTCAGCAACATCCTGAGGCATAAGCCATTCTGTAAAAACAAAACAAAACCAATCTCAGCTCCAAGAACCAAAGAATCCTTGATACCTAAAATAAATTGTGAGAGGCACATCACTAATATTATATATTTTTTAATATTCATTTATTTCTAATGCTCAACAGTCACATTTGCTTCCAACCAAGTGTCCCAAAGAATTAACTTTAAATGAGCTAGATTTCTCAACCAGGTTTGAAAGCCACTCTCATCAAGAAGACAATAGAGCAGATAGAAGAGAAAAATCAACATACCAGTCGGCACATTTGAAACCAAATTTGACAGGACAAGAATGACAAGTGCAAGAACTGCTATTCCACTGACTTGATCAATCTTTGCATAGGGTTCCATTAGCTCCCATAGAGCGCTTGGGATTCCAGTTTTATTAAACCCTTGGACTGTGATAAACATCCCGCAGAAGAAAATTAGAAGACAGTGAGATACCTGTTAAAACCAGAGAAATGAAATCCCCAACAAGTTATTGACACTTCCACAGATCTAAGCAGTAATCTAATCAATTTGAATCTAAATGAGGGAACAATACAAAAGAGTCATAGTTGCTGATTTTACCTTCTCCAGGCATGGCACAGCATCCTTAAAATCGAGAATCATGAGAGAAAGGGCAGCAGTAATTGCAGTCCCTGACATATTAAAACCCATAAGCAAAGAGATTAACATTCCTACGACAACTAGATAAACACAGGATTTCCACAGCTTCCTTTTCCATCTTTCTGAACAAGTTGGATTCCTGTAGGACCAGTGAATCTCAGCCTCACTCTGGTTTGAATTTACACCGCCTCTAATTTCCAATCCAGGGAGTCGTCCTTCAGAGGTAGATGATGCCAAATGTGACATTGTGGCTGGTGAAAAATGGTAAGAACTGACACTATCCCCCGTAACAAATTCCGCAGCTGAATCTTCTGCATCTTTCTTGACAGATAACAAATTCCAATACATGCATATAAGTAATAAAGCATTGACAGCAACTCCTAGTATAGTCGCAGGGAGAATTCCTGTTAAGAATTCCCCAAAAGAAATTGCACTCTCGGTGGCTATAACCAAATTCTGGGGGTTACCGATCGGAGTTGCTGTAGATCCAATATTAGCACTTGAGGAAAGGGCAAGTAGGAAAGGTTGAGGTGGAAGATTATTTTGCCTTGCAATTTTCAACACAAATTCGGTCAAAACCATACAAGATGTGTCGTTGGTGAACAAAGCACTTGAAATGGCAGAAATTAAGCAGATTCTGCAAATTAAGTCCTTTGCGCCTTTACTCTTCCATGTGAGCAACTTACCCAAGTACTTAAACGCATCTGCTGTTTCAAGATATCCACTGACAACCATTGTACCGAAAAGAAGGCCAAGGATTGAAAGATCGATTGCTTCATATGCTTGATCAACAGTTAAAACTTGAAAAATGACCATCAGCATACCTCCTAAGAGGGCCCCTGCAGTCCTCCCAATAGGTAGAACTGGAACAGCAGGGAAAACTGCCAGTACCCAGAAGATTGCAAAGGCAATTGAGCCTAGAATCACTTTTAAATAAGATGCCATTGCCATCTTTTAGCATTCTTAGAAAGCCTTATCTAACAGACATCAAGATAATTTTAAAACAAGGATTGTCTAAAATACCTCATGATTCTATCTTAGGATCAGATTGCTGACTTCATTCTACTAAGAAAAAAGTAATAGTACTACTGTTTCTAGCAACTGCAATGAAAAAACTAGAAATTTTAATAGGTGGGTTTTATCAGCAAGAATGTCATTGCAAAGCTGTTGACAGCCAGGAATAGGTTCGCACATGTATTTTGGCCTGCCTCTCGGCTGTCTCTTTCTCCCCATTTGAACTCGGAATACCGTGCATTTTTTTTTTTATCCGAAACACCGTGCAATTATTGAGGAAAAGATGCAAGTAACAACGGCGGCAGTTGATAACTCTTTTGGAGAGAAAAATGTTTTACGGCTTCACATCTGGCATTGTCATTTCAATATTTGAATGAGTTATACACGCAGGATCTACTGAGGTCTTGAGTGGATTTCCGGGATCTATAGGATCAGGCAACTTGATACGTGTTGAACTTGGAATCCTATGTCAGCCTAAAAAAACCATTTACTACTATTTTCATTTTGTTCACTGTGAGTGCTAAACTTACCGCCTATCTATAATATTATGAATTTAAAAAATATTAATATTGATCCATTTAAATATTTTTATAAAATTTTAAATTAATAAATTTATTTTTAAATATATATTTTTATTAATTTATTTGAATTTAATTTAGATCAAATAAAATTAAAAATAAAATTTATATAAAATTAAATTACTTAAAATTTTAAATTTTTAATTTTAAAAATATTAAAAGTGATTGATTAAAATATACTTAGTAAATGTTTTTATAAATTTTAATTTAAATAATTTTTTTATTTTAGACTTTTTTTATAATTAGACAAAAAATGTTAAAAATTATTAACTAAAATATCTTTAATAAAATTTTAATTTCAAAAATGTTAAAAGTGATTGAAGTAATTTTTTTATAAATTTTAATTTAAATGATTTTTTATTATTAGACTCTTTGTTTATAAGTAAAATGCTTTTTCACATCAAATAAAAATACAACTAAAATGAGATCAAAGCTTAATGTGCATAGGAATAAAACAATTACATGAAGTTTGTTATTTAGTTGTTGTAAAAATAATTGTATATGTAGTTTGTGCCAATAAATAAATTTATTAAAAATAATCATAATTAAGTCATTGAAGCATTTTTTTATTTATTCTCTTTCAATTTTTGGTTTTAATATATTACATAAATACGTATGTTAATAATTTTATTATTTATATATTTTATAAGTTGATTATTTAATTATTGATGACATAATTAATCTTTTTAGTCCCTTGAAATAATTTTTTAATATATCATTATTACTGTTTAGTCTAACCTCTATAATTATTTTTTTTTGTATTTTTTCTCTAGAATTTTATAATTATTATTTTCATGAACAAAAACTAATATTAAATCAAATGTAAATCAATTACATCCCCTCCACCAACAATTATTATTATATGATTCATTAAACACTTTAATTAGATTTTTTACCTGTAAAATTAGATGATTTAGAGTACTATCAAATTATCATAAAAATTATTCACATTGATTGAAACAATAATTAATTGAATTTTCTCTTAACTTTTATCTTAATATGCCTATATGATTCATTTATATTTCAATATTATTTAATATTTCTCAATTGTATTAAATTATTTATTTTTTTATCAACTAATTGATTGAATGACCCAATATGAATTATTCTAAGTAAAAAATTATCAAATGGAATAAAATTAATTATTTTTTATGATTTCTTTAAAGGTGTGATAGAATTTATTGGAACTATCTTTTAAATGTGTTTACCCCAAAATTACATTCATTCAAATTTTATTAAAACTAAAAATGAAATTATCATAAATTATATAGGTTTTATATAACAAGTTTGTTATTTTTAGAATTGGAATTTTCTTAAAAAAACATGATAAGTACCAAAATTAGAATTTTATTTTATTTTATTTTTTAAAATTATGCATTTTAATATTTTTATATAATAAAAATTTATGTATAATAAAATTTTTTAAATAAAAAATTAAGCTTTTAATGGATAGATCGTATAACTATATTTAATTGATAAAAACACTAATGAGATATTATTCTAAACAGAAAAATAAGATAAAAAATTGATTAGTTATACATAAGTCTATCTTTTTCATAGGACAAAAAAGGTTAATGATAAATAATATTTCAATGGAAAATATACAAATATATTGATTTCAACTTTCTTTAAAATTAATATGAAACTCTTTTATTTGGAGAAATATTATATACTAATTCATTTTCTCTTTTATAGCAGTTTAAGGATGTTCATTGTTGTATTAAAATTTTTAAGATTATCATATTAGGTAATATTTGTTTAAAAGAATTGGAATTTGTCAAATTAATTATTACTTTACATCTAAAATAAAAAGTTATTATAATTTATAATTTAACTAAACTTAAAAGTGATTTAAAGGTATTTATTAGCAAAATTCATTTGAAAAATTTTTATTTAATTGTGTATTTAGTATTTTAATCATTTTAAATTTTGATTTTTTATAATTTTGAGTTGAGTTTTAGACTTAAGATGAGCAATCAATTAGGTTGAGTCAAGTTTTATCATTTACTTTTATTCACAATGTACTCAATTATTCATTTATACAGCGGAGTAAATTTGACTTAATAATTGGTACAAGCTTCTCTTTTATTTAAAAAGATGGATTTAAATTGTCATAAATTCAAATAAAAAAATAACTATACTCGATTACTTATAATTGTAATTTCACTTTAGATATACTTTTAAAATTTATTAACTAATTCAATCACAGAGATATTAAAAATAAAATATTAAAGATGAAAGGAAAAAAACTTAAATAAAGAACTTTTAAATTGTTACAGAAGATGAATAACTAATATTGAATTTTGATTGAGTTATTATTTCAATTAGAATTTCGATTATGTTCAATTACTTTTTATTTTAAATAACTATTAAGTTATTGCTTCTTAAAATCAATTGAAATAAAGTCAAGTTAGTTCATTTTTATAATTGTGTCCATTATATTATTTTTAATTAAATTAAAATTTAAAATGAGTAAAAAATTTATTTATACTCAATTTGAGTTTTGAATTATTTCAAGTTTGAATTGGTTAATTCATGTTAATTTAGCTATACTTTTATGATATCGATAATAAATTTCAAAATAAAACAAGAATACAACATAATAAAAATTTAAGTACAAAAGTGATGGAGATATACTAATGATAATTTTAGAAGAAAATCCTTATACCCAAGTTTGCAGAGATTAAAAGATTTTTCTTTTTTGAGAATTTTTTAAATTCATATTGTAAAAATGTTAATCTAGATCAACGAGTTTATAATTGTTTATTTGTTAATCAAGCTGTTATTATATGGGTTAAGGGAAACAATTCAAATATTTCATTTGAAAGGGATCATATCATAGTTCAAACTAATTTATAAAGATAACATAAAATTAAACAGTATTTGGAATGTTATGATTCATTATAATATTCTTCACCCTTTCCAAATAAAAGAAGTTAATTGGCATCAAAATATCAAAAAGGTCAATTTGAATGAAGATAATAAGAATGAAGCAACAATTAAAAATATACTATCTTTTTGTATAGTAGAAGAATTTTTTTATGGAGAATGTGAAATATTCTTTTCTCTTTCTGAATAGAAAAATTGATTGGCATCGAAATATCAAAAAAGTTATTTTGAATGATGGTAATAAAAATGAATCAATAATTAAAAATATATTATTTTTTATTCAATAGAAAAACTTTTTTTTATTGAAAATACGAAAATAATTATTATGAATTTAATATTTTAAAATTGTTTTCTATTTAATTTTTATAAATTTTATTTAGTAAATCAATTCTCATTACTTTTATCGTATATATAACAAAATTTTTACCTAAAATTGTATATTTAAAAATAGAAATATATGACAAAATTTATTATTTCCATTGATGACATAACATTTTAAAATTTTTAATTTTTTATATGCATTGTATTTCGCTAACAAGTATGAATATATATATAGACACTAATAATTCAATTAAATTATTAATAAAACTTATCTTAATATATATTATTTTACCATGAACTAAAAAATTTAGAAATATTAACTTAATATAATTGTATATATTTATTTAATTTAGTTTAATACTTGCATTGTATAACAAGTTATGATTTAAGCTTATTATTATGTGTTAAACTACCGATAGTAATTTAAGAGTATTTATTTATGTTTTTCATGTCATTTAAACTTAAACTTTTTCTTTCTTTCTTTACCTTACAAATTACACCAACTAGTATACATTGTAGTTACTTTATTTTTGGATATACACAAATAAGGGATAACATATTAGTACATAATTAATAACTTAGTAATTAATCATTAAAAATTTAAATGTAATTAGTATAACTTAGTAGTAATCATCGATAATTTAATATTAAATTAGTGATAACTTAATAGTAAATGAATAATAATTTAGTAGTAAATAATTGATAACTTTTTAGTAAATTAGTAATAATATATAATAATATATTTATAATACCTTAATGATAAATCAATTATAATATGGTTGTAAATATATGATAATATAGTACTAAATCAAGGATAACTTAACAAAAAGTAAGTGATAAGTTAATTATTAATAACTTAGTAATAATTAATGATAACTTAATAGTAAATAAGTAATAATTTAATAATAAATCAGTTTCAGTTTAATAGTAATTAATTGATAGTACTAAATCATAAATAACTTAGTAGTAAGTCAATAATAAATTAGTAGTAAATAATTGATAATTTAATAATTAATCATTGAAAATTAACAATAAATTAATATAACTTAATAGTAAATTATCGATTACATATTAGTTAATCAATGATAACTTAATAATAAATCATGCATAATTTAATATAAATCATAGATAATATAGTGGTAAATTCATGATAATTTTCTGGTAAATAATCAAAAATTAAATAGTAAATCAATAATAACATAATAGTAACTATATAAAATATAACAGTAAATCATTAATAATTTAGTAGTAAATTAATAATTTAGTAATAAATCAATGATAATATAATAGTAAATTACATTGATAATTTAGTAATAAATTAGTTAATCATTGATAACTTTTTAGTTAATTATTGGTAAATTATAGTAAATCAATTATAAATTTATAATAAATCATCAATAACTTAGTGGTAAATTACCAATAATTTAATAGAAATAATTAATAACTTAATGATAAATCACTCATAATTTAATGACAAATCATTCATAAATTAAAAATAAATTATTGATAATGTAGTAGTAAATCATTAATAACTTAAT